ACGTCTGCCCATCCAGCCTTCAAACTCCTCTGTCATTCACCCCCCTGGAAACCCCCTCCGTGCCCAGCCCCGAGGGTGTATCTCCCCAGTCCTAGATCCTCATCCCCCACATCCCCCCAGACTCTCCTCGATCTGATCCACCCATCCGCCCGGCCTGGAATCTACCATCCCTAGATCCGCTTGGAGTCTGGTCTGCCCGGCTAGTCGCCTGGTTAATGTCTGTCCAGCCCTGAGTCCCTCTGTCTGCGGCGTGGCAGATCCACACCAGAGAAACCCGCCTGTGCCTCTGTCCATCCCCTGTCCTTGGAGCTGTTCATCCGTCTGTCCTCGGCTCCGTCCATCCCCCGTCCTTGGAGCTGTCCATCCCCCGTCCTCAGCTCTGTCCATCTCTCTCCCCGCCTCTGGCGCCCCTCACCACAGAGCACAGACTCTGATCCCCACTGAGTGCCCCCTGGGCAGGGGGTCCCCATGCCTTACCCTGAGCGGGGAGTGTGGCGGGGTGGCCGCCACGTGCGTCTCCCCCTAACGTGTCCCTGCCCCCCCAGTTCTCGTACATGGACGCGGACGGGCGCCCAGTGGGCGCGGTGCAGCTCACCTTCCTGCGGCTGCTCAGCGTGGCCGCCCGGCAGAACTTCACCTACCACTGCCAGCGCTCGGTGGCCTGGCGCAGCGCCGCCTCCGGGGGCCACCAGCGCGCCCTCCGCCTCCGGGGCGCCAACGAGGAGGACATGAGCTACGACAACAGCCCCTACATCACGGCCCTCACCGACGGCTGTGCGGTGAGCGGGGCCCGGGGCGGGGAGCCGGGGGAGGGGCAGGCTGGGATGGGGTGGGGCGAAGAGAGACGGGAGCACGTGGAGGTCTGGGAGGGACAGATACACTGGGACGGAGGCACTGGGAGGGAGGGATGTGTGCCATTGCAACCCATAATGCGTTATAGAAATATGCTTATGAATGTAAATATGACATAACTGGGATATGTTTTATGCTACATAGGCCATGTCACATCTCTTTGCACAGGTTACGTTCTACTGACTGTTTTCATCCTATTCATATGCATGTATCATTTTTATATCGGAAGTTATGAGCGTTGGCTCTGTGCTTCTATTTCAAGTGTTTACTGTAGGAAGCACCTAAGGCAGATTTGAGCAACATAGTGTGAGGGGTTATTCAAGTAAGTGGAAGCACTTGGCAAACAGTGGACCTTGACAGACGCCAGTCCACATCCGAGCTTTCCTGAGAACGGTCCTGTAGAGAACGGAGTCATGCAGGGACATGTGACTCCAAAACTCCATCTTGTCGAGGGGATTCTACACAGGGGAGGGAGGGGTTTAGACCCACAAGGAGACACTATATAAACCCCTGGGAGACCCCTCCATTTTTTCTTCAGCTGGCTCAAGAGAGACCCTCTGCACACCCCAGGATACCTGACAGAAACTGGAACAAAGGACAGTAACGACCACAACCCGTCACAGTGGCGTCACGAACAGGATCCGAACCTGTGCGGGGAAACCCCATTGGATTTCGAACACTGTGACTGGATGGATCACAGAAGCCCCCTTGGGAACTGCCACCTGATGTGCTGAGACTACCCCGAGCCTGTTTCCCTTGGCAGCTTGGGACTTCAGTGCCCTGCCTGGTTGGAGCCAGACATGCCAGCCTGGTACAAACCCAGACCCAGGTCTGAACCACGTCCCCCAAAAGCTGCAGGCTGAACTGAAAACAGCTTAAGAAGTGTTTCTGTCTCCAGCACTCAGACCACTCCCAATGGGGTCAAAACCCCAAATAAATCTGTTTTACTCTGTATAAAGCTTATACAGGGTAAACTCGTAAATTGCTCGCCCTCTATAACACTGATAGAGATATGCACAGCTGTTTGCCCCCCACCCCGTATAAATACGTACTCTGGGTTAATTAATAAGTAAAAAGTGATTTTATTAAATACAAAAAGTAGGATTTAAGTGGTTCCAAGTAGTAACAGGCAGAACAAAGTGAATTACCAAGCAAAATAAA